AGGATCACACAGCTAGTAAGTGTCTGAGGCCGGATTTGAACTCAGGTCTTCCTGACTATAGGTCCATTACAGCTCATAAAATACTTAAAATACTTAAATATGCTATCAGTGAATGGACCACTAAAGCTCTAGAGATGGTGCAGTCTGCGGCACTCCAGAGTGTACCTGGATTGCTGATTGATTGACCAATGTCTTGTCCGGGTTGGTTTGAGCATAGCATATATATGGGATAGTGGGAGAAACTGAGATAGCAACAATAGGGGAGGCATAAAAATGAGAATTAATTTAATGAAACGAAATTCAACAGTGAGAAATGTATGGCTAAATAGCAGTTTATCCAAAAAAAGATTTGGGGGTTTTAGTGGACTGCAAACTCAAGTGGGCAGTGTAAAGAGGTAGCCCCAAAGGCTGGTGCAAGAAGAGAACAGTTCTTACGGGATAAGGAAGTGCTGGTCCCTCTGAACTCTGCCCTGCTCAGGCCACACGTGGTAATAATATGAAATGAGCTCTGAGCTCCTTCAGAGCTCTCAGATTTTGATCTTAAGCAGAAGTAATGAAAGCTCTGATGATAAGAAGTAAATAAAATATCTTTATTTGAATGGAAATAAAATTTAAAAGAAACTTGCAATGTCAATCCATTTTTTTGTTATCATGGATTTTAATAGTCAGAACAATATAATTTCATCATACATACACATGAACATTGTAGCCTCTCTAAGGGAAGTGCAAGGAGAGAGAAAGAAAGTTGAAAAATAACTAGATAAGTAATCTTCCAGGAATTGGAGTGCTGGACTGATATTTTTGACCTCAGCCCCATCAGTCTCCATTTTCTTTCTTTTCTCAATAATTGCACTGATCTTTTCCCATTGTTGGTCAAGCTCTGCCTTGTCATTTGTTTCTTTGAAGCATCTGATTTTCTGACCTTCTGACATCTTGATGCCATACTGGAATGTAGTGTTAGGCAAAGCCTCTTTGCTGTTCATACACTTGCTATACTCTTCCTGGGTGTCAAAGTCCCATCGACCCAATGGTCCCTTCTTGTTACCCTGGTCCATTTTGCTATGATCCACCTCCTTATCACTGTCCACAGCCATGTCATGCATTGTGGCTGGATAACACTCTGCATAACTGGTGGACAGGCCAAAGAAATCTCCCATCTGCTTCTTATCTTCTGGTTTCTTCAGGGAGTTGCCACCTTCCCAACCAGCGGAATCAGCAGACTTTTCCTTGATGGACTTTCTCAACTTGTTGGCAGATCCAGGACCTTTATCAATGTCAATGGGCTCATCATTCACTTTGGGCTTCTCAAAATAGCCATGTTGCTTCTTCTCTTCTCTTTCCCCATCCCACTCTCTTTCTCAGTCCTGCTCTCTGTCCTGTTCTCTCTTTTCCATTCTCAGTCTCGTTCGTGATTTCCCTCTGGTTCATGATATTACTGCCATTCTTTTCCCCTTGGAACCTTAGTTATTGATGGTACATAATCTCCAATGTCTTCAAAAATGTTCTTGTCAGCTTCCAGAGGTTTCTTCTCATCCAGCTTTCCTTTGCTTTTTTTCTTCAGCTTCTTATTCTGGGTGTCCTGCCAAGTAGAAAAGGATCTGTGTCAGCTTGCTGATGATGATGTCATTTGTGGTCAGTGTGGTCTGGGCCTCCATGGCAGGACAGTCAGCTTTGCTCCAGATAAGTGTAGTGGGGACATGTGTGTCTGCATACTCATCCCTCCAGATCTTCCATGTAGGTCATGCAGCCTGGCAGAAGCAGCTCATTTCGTTCATAAGCTTTGTTCTTGAAGACCATATGGTAAATGCTGTGGCCCAAATGCATCTTAAATTCAGTTTTATTCTCAGGATCTTCAGCTTTGTTTCTTTCTGAGGTTTCTCCATCATCTCTTTGTTGGCAATCTCAGCTCGAACCTTCTGGGGAAGGGCAAATCTCTGTATCTATTTTTGTATGTTGATTTTGTGGAATTGTTTTTTCAACGTGTCTATGTGTACATATTTCCTTTTAAGGAGATCTCATTTGGTATAGCCTGTATTTGGTCCCATTTAGTTTCTGTAGGTGAACTGGATAGGCAGCTTTGTAAAAGCATAGAACTCGAAAGCACTTTCATATCCTAGAACTTCAAATTTACTTTCCCTGAATTCCATGCTTTTGTTTTCTGGCAATAGAATTCTCTGACATTTCATATAGTTTTCCCTGGAGCCAAAGATGGTGAGGGAGTACTTAGTTTGTCAGTTAAATTGAGTCCTTGAAATCATTACGTCCCAGAAGATGTAATTGAAGAGTGACCATAAAATGAACATTTCAGGCAGTGGCTAGGTAAGAGTGTTTTGTTTCTTCAAATATAGATGCTATCACCATAGATATGTCATGGACAGCTCTTCAGGTTTTTTTTTTAATATAAGATAAAAAGGATTGATGGGGGCACACCAAAAGGAATGAGAGAGAGAGAGAAAGAGAGGGTGTATGTGTGTGGTCTTGAAATACTCTTTCTATTGTGGAGTCTACTGACTACTTTTTTGTGGTTTGTACATTTTTCTTCTCTAGGGTAAGGAGTAAAATCACTGTTCAGGATAGTATGAGTTTTCTAGTGCTTTTTCCCAAGTTTTATTCTAAGGCTCACTCATCATACCCCATTATTTACTTGTCACTTTCTCTGCTATCATATGGATCATAATTTTTTATTTTGTTGCCAGCCATTGTCTAAAATGTGCAAAGTGTCACAGTAAAAGTCTCTATTTGCTTCACATAGGAGTACTAAAGTTCACAGGAGACCTTGACGCATGCGCACACACGTCTTTTGTTGCTGCTGTTGCTATGGAGCATCAAGTATTTGTTTTTGATTGAATAATAGGGCAGATGTTCATGTCCTGCTCACATAGTTCTGTCTGTGACCTTGGAGCACTGTGGAGATGCCTGTTTGCAGCTGACTTGGCCTCCTTCACGATTTCTGCATTCTGTGCCTATGGATAAGTGTTTCCAGAAATATTCCAAACACTCTGTAAATTGTAAGTCAGGTGTACTATTTCTTAGGCAGAAGATAGGGAAGAAGTGGAGAAAGTTAATTCACTTGTTTCTTTTTAAACCCCAGACTCAGAAAATGGCAAGAGCATCTAGTGGTTCCAAGCTCTTTGAGATGGTATTTGGTTTTCAATACCTCAGTGGTCCTCTAGTCCCAATTCTTGATGTGGTATTTGCTAGACTCAGATATGCAGTGATGATTTCTCACCTCTTTCCATCCCACTGACATTTTACACATTCTTCCAGATTCTTGCAACATTTCTAGAAGTCACTTTGAGCTGATGGGAAGTGATCATTCAGAATATATTCTTCTTCCTGGGACTTTGTTTAGTTACAGTGAAGATGTATTCAGATTTACTATTTTAAATGATACTTCTGCCTTGTCTTTTGAAACTTTGCTGGATGCTCTTCCAATCTGAGATTGCTCTTTGAGATGGCTTTTTTTTTTTTCATAGGCAGTGGGATTAAGTGACTTGCCCAAGGTCACACAGCTAGTAAGTGTCAAGTATCTGTGGCCACATTTGAACTCAGGTACTCCTGACTCCAAGCTGGTGCTTTATCCACTGCACCACTCAGCTGTCCCTGAGATGGCTTTTTTATGTTATGTACCTGGCACAGTATTTGCTAGAAACTAAAACAAACAAACAAAAAAAGGTACTGGAAATGTGGTGTTAGAAACATTTCCAAATACTTGTGAGAATCTTGAAAATTCTTATCAAGGATGAATTCCTGTCAAGGATAAAAACAAAATCAGAGTGAAGATTAAGATACTCTGTCTAGGTTGTGCTTGAGTTTTAGAATGCTAGGTATGACAATAAACTTTTATGAGATTGTAGGGTGCAATGGGAAAATCTGCTTATCCACTATTGTGTTAGTGGGCCGGTACTGGCCACCTCAAAAGCAGCTTTTGGATGGGCTTTTTCCTGTCTCCAGATTAATCTTCCAGGTTTAGTTAGTGCCTGTTTTGTACTGCTTAGACACTAGACAAAGCATCTGTCTGTCAGGGCCTGACTGTCTATTGTCCTTTGTACAGGACAACAATATTGTATATAAAGGTCATGTTTGTTTCTTTAGCATCTTCCTAAAGTACTTGGTCCAGGTTCTGTATGTCAGAGCTACTTAATAAGCTGTTGAGTGATAGGATCTCATTTTATCCTATGTAGTCAGTTCAGAGTTATATATACTAAGGGAAATAGAGGTGTCAAGAAGGTGATAAAATGCATAATCCAAAAATTGTTTTGGATTCAGTAAGAGAAACTGTACACATAAGCAATTATTCCCTTCTTTCTTTGGCCATCAGTTTTCCGTTGGTCATTACTGTAGTCAGTAGTTCAAAATCTTTCTTGATGTTGTGAAGGAAGACAGTCCTGTGAATCAGATAAATGGTTTGCACGTAATAGTGAATTGATATGCTTGGTGAAGTGAGAATGATTTTTCTGTAACTTGATTTTTGGGGAAAAAATCTGTACACTGTTTAATGACACAGCAATTAATGGATTAGATAGTTTAAAACAACGAACTTATGTAAAAATAGATAGCTATTTTATAATACTTTGTAGCACTCAACAAAATTGTATTGTAAAATTAAAACAAAGATTAGTCTGAATGTTCTTTTACTTTTAACAGCAGGGACTGTATAAGTGGGTACTTGGAATATACATGTGAATATATGTACACAAATATATATATATATATACACACACATAAATATTTATACAAATTTTGAAAAATTGGACTCCTTATATAAGTATGATTATATTAAGAGTAAATATCCTACTAAACATTATTAAGGGAGGAAAATTTTGAGGTAACTAACACTTTTTCTGTTTTCATCTCCAGTAGTAAAGAAATATTTAAATTTCCTAAACTTGTCAGTTTGGAAGGTCTCATTTGGATATGTGAATTGGACATTGTTTTAGAATTTGCAAAGTTAACACACATTGCCTCTTTTTCTTCCCTTCCCCTCTTCTCTCTCACAGCTACGGATAACGGTCTGGTCCCTGTGTACAAAATCTGTATCTTATATCAAGTATCCTAAAGCCTGTCAGCAGGGTGAGTGTATCAGAACTCTTGTCAGGAGAGTATTTTTAATAGGGCGATCGCACACACCGATCAAGCCCGTGATGCTGAATTGGGTGTATCTACATCCCTTTCGACCTGATGGCTGTTCATCAGTCAAGGGACACTTAGTTAGAACATCAATAGGACTTCAGCAGAGCCTAGTTCTGATCCTTCTATTGACGCCTTCTCTAATCTTGGGGAAATAGTTAGCCTTTGTTTCTGTTGGTCTGTTTGTAAAAGGGAAATTGTATTATTATACCCCTATGAATGAAATAAATGAAAGCTTTCTGTGTTCCAGGGACTGTGCCAAGCACTAGAGATACAGGTACAAAAAGTGATTCAGTCCATGCCCTGAAGGTCGTATTCTAACAGAGGAAAAGAACACAACACACATAGGGAGTGGTTGCCAGCGAAGGAAGTTTGGGTCTGGGAAGTCACAGGGATGATGAGTTGATCCATAGGGCAGGTGAGGGTCATGCTTTTCCTGTAAGCAATTGATTTGGTTATTGTGCACAGAGCAGGAGGTGGAAAGCCTGGTTGGGTGACTAGATGGCATGGCACAGCATGGTTGGGGGCTAGCCCTCAGTCATTAGATGAGACTGAGGCCCAGGAGCTCAGGGGCTGACAACAGATATTTGTGAGGATAATTGAGCTGGCCACTGTACTTTACATAAGTCCTCTGAGCCCTTAGGAGGAAAGGGCTATGGGAATTTGTTATTAATCTTACTAGTTTACTTGTGTAAATGTATAATACACCACCAGCTTCATTTGGTCTACACACCAAAAATGAGCTAGGTGTACCACTCGAATCAGCACAATGCAGTAATAGTTTTCTGAGGAACTGAGCAGAATGATGTGTTAGAATAGATTATCTAAGTTATTCATTGTTTTTCTTTTAGTAGTCAAAAATAAATACTTTTATGTTTCCACAAGAGATTGGAAAATTGTGTGTGTTTGAATAAAATGGCTATTATTAGTATCCTTTATCATCATTACACAGTTAGGCATATTATCTGAGGCATAATGTCTTTTCTTAAAAGCAAGTTGTCCATTCAGAGAACTTCCTGATCTATATATCCAGTCCCACTCTTTCTCTGGAATTTTAACCCCTATCACCAAACTGCATATTGGATATTTCCATCCACTTGGATGTCCCATAAACATCTTAAATTCAGCATATCCAAAACAGAATTCATTTTCATCCCCTTTCCCCCCAACCTTCCTTTGCTTCTGTTGAGGGCAGCACTATCCTTCTAGAAATCCAGGTTTACAACCTGCGAGTTATCTTTACTCTTCCCTCTCATTTACCCCTCACAACTAACTATTTACCAAATCTTTTCAATTCTGTCGACACCATATCTTTTGCTCTCTTGTCTTCTTTTCTTCACTCCTGTAGCCACCACCCTAGTTCAAGCCTTCATCACCTCCTACCTGAACTATTACAGTAATCTCCTAATAAGTCTCCCTGCATCTTGCACTTAGCTTCCAAATGGATATTCCTAAAGCACACATCTGACCATGTCCCAGTGGAAACAAGCATATGAAAAACTGCTATAAATCACTGATAATAAGAGAATTGCAAAGTAAAATGACTCCCACCATATCCATCAGACGACAGAAATAGAGAATGGCTGTTGTTAGATGGGTTGTGGGAGAAAACACACATTAATGCCCTGGTGGTGAAATTATGAATTGATCCAACTGTCCTGGAAAGCAGTTTGGAACTATAACCTTAAAAATCACTAAATTATGCATGCCTTTTGACCTAGTGCTAACCATTACTGACATATTCCCAAAAGATAGTAAAGGGGAAAGGACTCCTTCAAAAATATTTATAGCAGCATTTTTGTTGTAGCAAAGATCTGGAAATAAATTGGGTGTCCATCATTTGGGGAATGGCTGAACAAATGGTGAGTGATGAATGTAATCCAATCAGTGAACGAATATACGTTTATTAATTGCTTAATATGTGCCAGGTACTGTGCTAAACATTGGAGTTACAAAGAGAGAACAAAAACAGTCCTTGCCCTCAAGGAGCTTACATTCTAATGGAGATAGCATATACATAAGTAGGTGTATACAACATACATACCGACTAGGTGTAAAGTAACCTTATAGGGAAGGGCATTTGCAGCTAGGTGGTATTTGAGCCAATTCCTTAAGGAAGCCAGGGAATCTAGGAGGGGGAGGTGTGGAAGGAAAGCACCCCAAGCTTCAGGGAGAGATGGCACAAAGGCATGGAGACAGAGGATGATGTATCTAGTTCAAGAACAGTTAAGTAGTCCAGCATAGCTGTACCATGGAATTTATGGTAAGAATGGAAAGGTGGGAAGAGTCCACATTGTAAAAAGTTTATATTTGATCTTAGGAGGTAATAGGGAGCCACTGGAGATCATTGCATAATTGGGTGACATGATCAATCCTACACTTTGTGACATCACATTGGTGGCTTGTGACAGATGTTTTGGAATGGGGGAGAGGACTGGAGGCAGGGCGACCAATGGAGTAGTCCGAGTGAGAGGTGATGAAAGCCTGAACTCCGTGGTGGCTGAGTGAGTGGAGAGAAGAGGCCATAGAAATGGCAAGATTTGGCGACTGAGTGAACGAGTGAAGTGAGAGAGAGAGGAATCGATGACAATGAGTGAAAAACTGGTAACTGGGAGGATGGTGGTGCCGTCAACAGTAAGACAGTAGTTTGGAATAATTTGGGGGCAAAGATAGTGAGTTCTGTTTAGGATGCTGCCAATGGGATGTCTGCTTTTGAAATTCCCATAGGCAGTTGACAGTGCCACACTGGAGCTCAAGGAAAAGACTAGGGCTGAATACAAAGACTGAGAGTCATTTGCATGGAGATGATGGTTGAACCCATGGGAATTTGTGAAATCTTTACGTGAGACATTATAGAGAGAGCAGAGAGGCTGAGGACAGAGCACAGAGCAGGCCAAGCTATGGTAAGGGAGGGGAGAGACCAACTCAACAAAGCCTGGGAGGACTTGGAGGAACTGAGAGAGAGAGAGGTGATGAGAACCAGGAGTTCGACAACTGCAGCATAGGAAAGAAAAACGCATGTGATCAATGTAGTGCCCAGTCATGACTCCAGAAGACCGAGGGTGGATCATGTTTCCCACTAGAGATGCAGAAGAAGACGTCAATTTTCAGATACAGTCATTATATGGCTTTGTTTTGATTCACTATACTTGTTGGTTACAAGAGGCAGTGGATTTTTTGGGAAGGGAGTATTATGGAAGGCAGTAAGGGGGATTAGTGATAGTGATGCAAAAATAAAAGAAAGAAGAAATGAAATATTCTTACAGATATACAGCAGAGAGCAGTAAGAGGTTCAGAAGGGAACACATAAGCAAGGTAGTGTTTGTACTGTTCTGTTAAACTTAATATATACTTTTAAAAATTATTTAAAACATTCCATATTAGTCAAGAAGAGTTGAATAAAAGGAAAAAAAAGAAAGTGAAAACTAGCATGCTTCAGTCTGTATTCAATCAATATCAGTTCGTTCTCTGGAGGTAGAAGGTATACTTCATCATTAGTTCTTCGGGATTATCTTGGATCATTGTGTATTATATACTTTAAAAAAACTATATGTGATAGATTCACAGTTTCACATACAGTGTTAGTTTTCCATTCCTTCTATATGGAAATATTCATGCTTATTAAATGTGGTCTTTGGTTTTTTTTTTTTAAAGCTCCTTCCTCCCTGGAGGACAAAATACAGATTCTCCTATTTGGTTTTTAAAGCCTTCCATGATTTGATTCCTACTTTCCTTCCTTTTAAAAATTTTTTGATGTTCTTTTTTTTTTATTATGCACTTAAATGTTTACATTTGTTTAATGACTATTAAGTTAATTTTAAAAAATTGGCATTTTAATAAACAACAAAAGAGGAGTATTTTATATGAAACTGAACTTTTCTTACATTGCAGTTTTTATAGTAGATACTAAATTTAACATGAAAGTAACAGAATTGCCCTGCTTGTTCACCTTGTCCAAACCTTTTATGCTGTCTTTGGTGTATCCTTAAGAATGTTTTATTGATTCTTTTTTATTTCTTTTCTTGGATATCATTCTCATTACTCACTAATGTTATCACTGCTTCCCCTGAACTTGTATTTAATAAGTAGAGTAGAGCAAACAAATCAAGATAGAGGCTGTGTCTGAAAATATATGTCATTTTGTACCTCTAGGCCATTTTGTACTCTCTCTATCAAGAAATGGAGAGCAGATTTCATTATCGATCCTCTGCAGTCATGATTGATCACTGCATTAATCAAAGCGCTCAAGTCTCTCAAAATTATTTTCCTTTATGGTGGTGTAGCCACCATGTACATTGTTCTCCTAGTTCTGTTCATTTCACTTTATATCAGTTCATACACGTCTTCCCAGGTTTTTTGAGTCCGTCTTGTTCAGCATTTGTTATGGTCAGTAATATTCCACTAAATTAATGTACTGGAGTTGTTTGTGCATTCCCATTTGTCTCAAATGGGAATGCACTTATTCATTTATTCACAGTTCTTTACTGTCACAGAAAGTCCTGCCTTAAATATGTTTTGTCCATAGGAATCTTTTCTCTGGGTCTTTGACCTTTTTGGAGAATATGCCTAGAGGTAGTGTCACTGAGTTAGAGGATTCCAGCCTTCACACATTCTATATTCTAGTTCAATTATTCTTCTATTTAGTGTTTGGTGTTACATGCAGCATCCCACCTCTCAGCCCTCTGCCTCTGCCACAGGCTGTTTGCTGTCCTTAGAATGCTCTTTGTCCTCATTCCCATCTTGTAGAATCCTTGGTTTCCTTCAAAGCTCAGCTCCTATGTTAACCCCTACAGAAGCTCTATCCTGACCCATTCCAGTTGCTAAGATCCTACCTCTTGGAAATTATTTTGATTTTATGTCTTCTATATCTGTGTGCATGCTGTTTCTTTCCAGTAGAACATAAGTTCCTTGAGGGCAGGGGTGATTTTGTTTTTATTTTTGCTTTTATTTTTGTATCCTCAGCACAATACCTGGCACATTATTAAGTAGGTACTTAATAGATGTTTTCTTAATTGAAATAAATATTAAAAAATGGAAATGACTTTATTTTAATAACTTCTGACACAAGAGGCTTTAGGCTTTTTAAGTTGAGAGAGAACAAGGTAGTATAATGTCATAATTTTGTCCAACTTACTAACTTAAATTTCCTTCAGCCAAATAAACTGATTCAAAAGTGGAAAGGACACACAGTAAGTTTATTTTATGTGACATCCTATCAATATTTTTTACTTTTTCTGAACATCAGTAGTATAGTAATAATTGATGAAGTACAAGAAAATATTGAAGTATTTTCTGAGTTATCTTAGCAAGATTACACTTAATACTGAAATTGTATGGTGTATAATTTAATCTCTATTACTACAGTTCTTTGACATTTGGAAATCCATGTATGGTAAGAAGGACAGCATGTTGTAGTAGATGGAGAGTGAGCCTCTGAGTCGGGACGACCTGGCTTCCAGACTGAGCCCAGTGTTCTGTGGCTATGCCATCCTGAGCGGGTCACCATGCCTCTCAGTGACTGTGGGACACTTCACTTCAGAGCAGGTGCTCATCTAGATTGGTAGAGGGAACTCCTCTCCAGGAGCAGCCTGTGCAAATGAAATCACAGGTCTGGTTAAAAGTACTGTGTGTTAACCTACTGTCTGAGATTTTTATTTGTTACTTTCTCCTCCTTTGCCTATTTTCTTCCTTTCGTTCTTTGCAGAAAATTAGTCCTCTGATTTTGTGTCTCTTCTTCATAAATTCACAAAATTTTAATTTTTCTGCTAGGAATAAGCTTTACAAAGGATGGCCGCTACATGGCATTGGCAGAAAGGCGTGACTGCAAAGATTATATTAGCCTCTTTGTGTGTAGTGACTGGCAGCTCTTGAGGGTGAGACATTTCTGGTTACTACTAAAAATATTTTTTAGAGGTATGTTTCTTAAGCTACTAGGATGGATTTATAGTAGATATGGTTATATTACATTCCTAGGAGTTAGGGACTATTTTTTAACTCAGATTTTTGCACTGCCACATATTGGTAAATTCTGCTTGATTATAAAGTGTACATTAGTGATGTAGAAGAGGTAGGAATTTTCAAAATAGAATGATTTTACTTTTTCTTATTAGCATTTAAGTTATTTATAACATAGCTGGTATTTTATAGTTTATGTTTAGGTCTGTAGATTATTAGTTTACTGCAGCAAATTAAGTATAGTATCAGACTAAATATTAATTCTTTTGCTAACTTCGTGATCTTCAACAGTTAAGCATTAATTTTGAGACAAATAGAGTACTGATACCCAAACCAAGCAGAAACAAATCAGAAAAGGAAAACTGAAGACAAATTTCGCTAATGAATATTGGTGTTAAAAACATTAAATAAAATCACGTCAAGGAGACTAGAATAGTGTAATTCACTGTGACCAAATTGAATTTATAACATGACTTCAAAGATGATTTAACATTAGGAAAATGACTAGCATTGGTAATTATATAAACAGTAAAATCCACATGATTATTTATCTATATGAGGAAAAAGCCTTTGAAAAAATACAGTTCTTGATGCAGAGTGAAGTGAGCAGAACCAAGAGAACATTGTACATGGTAACAGCAACATTGTGCCATGATTAGCTATGATAGACTTTACTCTTATCAGCACTTCAAGGACCCAGGACGATTCCAAAAGACTCATGATGGAAAATGCTATCCACACCCAGAGAAAGAATTATGGAGTTTGAATGCAGATCAAAGGATACTATTTTCACTTTTTGCTTTTTGTTTTTTTCTTTCTCATGGTTTTTCCCTTTTGTTCTGATTCTTCTTTCACAGCATGACTAATGTGGAAATATGTTTAATGTCATTGTACGTGTATAACCTATGTCAGATTGCTGGCTGTCTTGGAGAGGGAAGAGGGGAGGGAGAAAAATTTGGAACTCAAAATCTTATAAAAATGAATGTTGAAAACTATCTTTATGTGTAATTGAAAAAATAAAATACTATTAAGTGGAAAAAAATAATAAAAAAAGAAAAGGAGAAGAAAAAAATTACCATTTCAGGGAGAGAAGAGGGGAAGGAAGAGAAAGAGAATTTGGATCTCAAAATTTTAAAAATGAATGCTAAAAATTGTTTTTACATGTAATTGGGAAAAAATAAAATGTTATTTAAAATGAAAAAAGAAAAAATATAGTTCTCATTTATATTAAAACCCTAAAAATCAAAAGCATGGAAAGATCCTTTTTTCAATATGACCAAAAGAATGTATCTGAAGCCTAAAGCTTCTTTGCTATAAAGAAACCCTGGAAGCCTTTCCAGTACAATAGCAAGGATAGTCAAGCAAGGATATTTCTTTTTCCCCTTTATTTATTTATTTATTTATTTATTTAGGTATTTATTTCTTTATTTATGTATTTTTAATTTAATTTAATTTAATTTATTTTTAGGCAATTAAGGTTAAGTGACTTGCCCAGGGTCACACAGCTAGTAAGTGTTAAGGGCTTGTTCTGAGGCTGGATTTGAACTCAGGTCCTCCTGACTTCAGGGCTGGTGCTCTATGCACTGTGCCACCTAGCTGCCCTCCCTCATTATTATTTTAGCTTTATCTAAATGTTTAAGCTATATTGATAAGACAAGAGAATGAAATTAAAGGTTTTAATATCAAATAAGGAAAACAAAATTGTCTTTATTTGTAGATGGCACCATAGTTTACCTAGAAAATTTCAGAGAATCAGCCAAGAAACTGATTGAGATGATTTAATAACTTCATACAAAAGAAATCCTTAAAAATCAGCTTTTCTATACAATATAAAAAAGAACCGGGAGAAAACAAGAAATTCTGTTCCAAATAGCTTTTAAAATGTATAAAAAATATGAGTTAGGCTTTTAAGTCATACATAGCACTTACATAAGATAACTACAAACTCTCTTCCTGAAATAAAAGAAGCCTTAATTAGAGATTCAATTCATGGTTAGATTATGCTAACATAGTAAAAATGATGTTACTACCTGAATTAATTTACAGCGCTAGTGCTATAACAGATTATCACAAACGATATTTTATAGGAGTAGACAAAATGATAAAATCATTTGGAGTAAATAATGAAAAAAATGAAGAGAGCATTGAATACCAGACTTCAAATTGTATTATAAAACAATAATCATTGATTTAAATCAGTAATTAAATAGGCAACATAGATCAGTGAAATAGACTAGATAAGCAATAACCAGAAGCAACTGTTGCTCAGTGTTTGATAAAGTGTTAAATCAAGAGTATAAATTATGGGGGAAGAACTTGTTTGACGAGAGCTTCTGGCATGCTGTTTGATAGAAATAAAGTTTAGACTAACATCTCACACAGTCACTGAAATAATGACCTAATGTATATGCAGCCTTGTGTAAAAGGCCACGTCATTAAAAAATGGAGGCCTTCAGAAGGAAGTACCTTTCATGACTAGTGTGCCAGAGAATTCTTAACCAAGCAAGCCTAGAAGAATAAAAGATATGAGAAATAATTTGGATTACATAAAATTAAAGTCTTTTCATAGCATAGAATTAGGAAACAAGCAAATGAAAAAAACGTGTCCAGTATCACTGAGAAAAATCTGTTATCCAAGATGCATGGAGTATTGATATACATGTATAAGACCATGAGCCATTCCCCTTTAGAAGAGGTCAAATAAAGAATTGCAAACTGTATATGACCTTGTCAATACTCGATTCAAATTGATAGTTATAAGAGAATTAAAACAACTCTGAGGTTTTACTTCACAAAATTGACAAAGATGACTGTCAAAGATGGCAAAAAACTGGAAACGCTGTGTTGGAGAGGCCATGGGGAAGACAGTGTTGGTGGAGCTATCTGTTCTCGTTTTGAGTTTTTGTTGGTACGTTTTGAGTTTCCTTCTCTCCCTCCCAGCCCAGCAATAGAGAAGGCCAACATGTGTGAAACCATACAATACACACTTCCATATATCGATTCTTTCTCTGGAGGTGGATGATACCTTCTCTCATCCTTTGTAGTTGTTTTGAATATTCATGTCACTCAGAATAGCTTAGTCATTCACAGTAACACTTCAGACAATGTTGTTTTTACTGCATACAATGTTCTCTTGGTTCTGCTCGTTTCATTCTGTATCATTTCAGGCAAGTTTTTCCATGTTTTCCTAAAATCAACCTGCTTGTCATTACAGCACAGCAGAATTCCATCACGATTATATACCACCTTATTCAGCCATTCCCTAATGGACTGGCATCCCCTTCAATTTCCAATTCTTTGACACCACAAAAAGAGCTGCTTTAATATTTTAGAACATGTACGATCTTTTCCTTTTTCCCTGATTGCCTTAGGAAACATCCAACAGTGGTATTGCTGGGTCAGAGGGTATACACAGTTTTAGAACTCTTTGGGCATAATTCCAAATTGCTCTCAAAAATGATTGGATCAGTTTGCAATTCCACTAACAGTATTTTCTTTTGGGGGGGCGGGGTGAAGTAATCGAGGTTAAGTGATCAGGGTCACGTAGCTAGTAAGTGTCAAGTGTCTGAGATCGGATTTGAACTCAGGTCCTCCTGACTCCAGGGCCCATGCTGTATCCACTGCGCCACCTAGCTGCCCCTGCCAACAGTGTATCAATATCCCAATTTTTCTATATCCCCTCCAACATGTGATTTTCTCATTCTATCATTTTAGCTAGTCTGATAGGTGTGAGATAGTACTTTGAAGTTGTTTTAATTTGCATTTCTGGAGCTATTTGTTTTCCAAAAGCTCTGTAAAACAATTTGGAATTATGGAAGAAAAGGGACTTCATTTTTAGATGTACTTTGACGCCGCTATACCACCACTGGCCATATGTCTCAAGAAGGCCAGCAGCAGAAATAAGTGGGTTCCACAATATTCCTCGCAGGACTTTTCTCAGAGACCTGGAAACAAAGTGGGAGGTATGTAAATGTCAGGTTAGGGCCTGGGCCTGTAATTCCGTTGACATAGCTCCTGCATAATGAGTTGCCCAGAGCCTTTGTGTGTCAGGAGGGGGCCTGAGAGCAAGATGTGGCTCCCGGCCAGCTCTGCCCACTCCACACTGCCTGCCTCTGTAAGAATGGGGTGGGAACTTTGAGCGGAGAGGAGATGCATGTGAGAAACGGGCAGAGATGTGACGAGATTTATATGAACCAATAGGACACAAGACAGACAAATGACCTCAGTAATGGAGCTAGAAAGAACTCTTGTGCTGTTTTGGAAAACGTGATGAAACCCGGCTCTCTTGGCAGAGAAGCGGGGCAGTAACAGTATCAGTCAGGAGAGGGTTCAGTTCTGGAGGTGGAATGCATATTAAGAAATTAATATGATGTGAAAGCAGTAGGAATCAATAAAATAATTTTTAAAATGTAGGGAAGAGTTATTTAATCCTGGAAACTATATTCAGGATAGTAGGAAAAACTTAGAAGCGGCCTGTCAAGTGGCTGCCACTCTGGGCTCCAAGTCAGGAAGACCTGGCTTCAATCCTGCCTCAGACACTTCCTGTCGCTGTGACCCTGGGCAAGTCATTTGACCTTTAGGCCCAGGCTTCTCTTCTTTAAAATGACTGGCTTGAACTCAGTGACGTCCCAACTCCCTTACAGCTCTAAATCTAGGAGCTGTTATCCTGTGTACGTTTGAATGAACATACTGTATACAATTTGGGATCTAAAATCTTTTCAAAACTTTCTTCTGGTTCCTCCCCTATCTCACCCTCCCTCACGTTCTTCTTCTTTGAAGCATTTTGAGACGGATACCCAAGATCTTGCTGGGATTGAGTGGGCTCCGAATGGATGTGTGTTGGCAGCTTGGGACAGTTGTTTGGAGGTATGAAGAAAATACTTGTTTTTAGGCGCTCTTACTGGTAGCTGTTTTACTTACTGCTTTTATGGAAATAAATGTCTGACATCCTACACTTGTTAATTACTGACATAGGTACTGAATGTGACTTTTGGACTTGGCTCGCATCTCTGCCCCTGACATTCATTAACTGTGACTGTGGATGAGTCACTGAGGTTGGGAGCCTCAGGTTCCTCATCTGTAAAATAAGGATTTTAATAACAGGAGGGCCTCGCTCTCAGAGCTGTGTGAGACCTGATGGAAGTCTTTGTAAAGTGCCATAGAAATCTCAGCTCTTAGTATTACAGCTTTATGACCTTATGTGGAGTAGTCTGAAATGGCTCGTCTGAAAGCTTCTCAAGTTCTGCAAGCTTAATTTAAGAATCAAATTGTCTCGTTTACAGTATAAAATTCTGCTGTATTCCTTGGATGGCCGGTTGTTGTCAACATACAGTGCATATGAGTGGTCACTAGGTATCAAGGCCATAGCCTGGAGCCCTAGCAGCCAGTTTTTGGCCATCGGAAGCTATGATGAAAAGGTAGGGAGTATGTGCACGTGAGACTTCTAGAACTGGTCATGTGCATTTGTTTAAAGCATGATAGCACCTCTGACTTTGTGTCTTTAAACAGGTGCGGATTCTTAACCATGTGACTTGGAAGATGATTACGGAGTTTGGACATCCTGCAACCATTAATAACCCCAAGATAGTAGGTTTGGGGTTTATGCTGCTAGTGAAAACTGCAGTGGTCTTTGATTTTATTGAATTCAGTCTCCACCAACTAGATAGAAATCCTGCCATTTTTTTTTTTTTAATATAAGTAGCTGTGATTGGAGAAACTTAGCACCTAGTGGATACCCCTTTAAAAAGTGATGAGCCTTGCTGCACTTAACTAGGCTGGGCCTCAAGTAATAGACACAGAGTCCTTTAAGTGTACAGACCCATTTCTCTCTCGGTAAAATCTACCAGAGCTTGTGCTTTACTGGCATCCCCTTTAAAAACATGGGATCCATTCCCTATTACACACAAGACTGTAGAAGGTCACACTATTACTGCTGCATGATGTATCAGTTATTTTTGAATAGCGTGTGTTGGTTTACCATATATTTTGGTAAAAAAAAAGGGGGGGGGAGCTGACTCACATAAGGGTATGTGAGTTGGTTTTATTTGTCAAATTGCAAGTTTCAGACTTCCGGTTGTAGGGGTTTCTCCCCTCAAGATCTTGACCCAAGACCACTTCTCCCTGGTGACGGCATACTGGAAAAGAGGAAGCTGCAGTTACTCTCTGACCACTAGTATGCCAGCAACAACACTGACCTCTGAATGATGTTCTGTGTAAATGGTTCATGTAAAATTTTAGGTTTTTTTCTTTTGGAGGTAATCAGGGTGAAGTGACTTGCCCAGGGTCACACAGCTAGTAAGTGTCTGAGGCCGAATTTGAACTTAGATCCTCCTGACTCCAGGCCCAGTGCTGTATCCGCTATGCCACCTACCTGCCCATAAAATTTTAGTTTTAATAGAACCCTGAATTTGTACAGCTTTGGGGTTTTGATTAATGAGCCCCTTCTCTGTCCTTGGCGACGGGTGAAGTTCATTTCCTCAAAAGATGATAATAGGGCAGAATAAATACACTTTATCAATTATCCTTAAAGCAGGTCTCTTGATTTAGGGATTAGGTTCTTGGCAACATCTGAGACAAACCCCTTGGATTAGCTTAGGGACAGGTTAGGAGAAGAAATGTCTAGACAGACTTAGCCTAGTGTTTGGCTCCCTAACCCTCTTCTCCTAATCCTCAGAACCTTTGGTTTCTTCTAAGACCTCTTGACATAGAATTGGTTTTTCTTTTATCCTTGACCTTTTTTTTTTTTTTGAGGCTATTTTAAGACTTGCCACCTATATAGTACCCAGTTTTTAAAGGATTAAAACCTAGGAAAGAACACATTATTGTAGTTACTATGATGATTTGCCCCATTCCTGACACTCTTGAACTATCCAAGTAGAAGAATCTAAAAGGCTTCTTCTATAAGAGGGAATTCTTGCATTATTTGAGATGTTTTGATATTATTAAGACTCACTTCTTCAGTTTTCTGTCATCAACAGTAGTCATTATCCCTAACAACTGCATGCCTCACACTTTACAAGACTTCACATAATTATCTCACAAGTCTCATTGCCTTTGTCATAAATTCTGGTGTTTGTTCTTTCAGGTTGTATATAAGGAAACAGAGAAGTCTCAAAATTTAGAAATGGAGAATCTTCCCTTCCCACCAACCAAAGCTGCAGCCAGTTCTCTTTTCAACACGGAGACTAAATGTAAGAAGCAAAGGGAGGAATGTTCTTTTTTTTTTTTTCCAATTAATTAACAAGCATTTATTTTTTCTCTTTATCTCTTCCTCCCACCCAATTGGAAAAATGACCCAAAAAAAAGCCTTGTAAGAAATATGCAGAGTTAAGCAAAACAAATTCCCATACTGGCTGTGTAAAAAATGCGTGTCTCTGTCTGCACCATGAGTCTGTCTCCTCTCTGCCAGGTTAGGGAGCCTGCTTTGTCATCGGGCCTCTGGAGTCACAGTTTGTCATTGCATTGATCAGAAATCTGCAGTATTTCATAGTTAATACTTTACAGTGTTGTTCTGTAAGTCATTCTCCTGGTTCTGCTCCTTTTACCCCGCATCACTTGTATAGGTCGTCTTCATATCTCTGACACTATTCCTTTCCTCATTTTTCATGGCACAGTGACATTGTCATAATCATATAACATAATTTATTAAGCTTTTCCCCAGATGAGAAGCACCTTCTTAGTTTCCAGTTCTTTGTTACCAGAAAAGAGTTGCTATAAATATTTTTGTACATATGGGTCCATTTCTTCCTTCTTTGATCTCTTTGGGATCTAGACTTAATAGCGAAACCTCTGTAAAAAGACATTTAGAGTTTAGAAAGTTTGGAGGCATCATTCCAAATTGCTTTCCAGAAGGGCTGGATCACTTCATAGCTCTACCAAAAGTGCATTTATGTGCCCCCTTTTTTTTTCTGGCATTCCCTCCATTTGTCATTTTTCTTTTTTGTCAGCTTTGCCAATCTGATGGTTATGAGGTAGAAACTCAGAGTTGTATTTTGAATTTCTCTAATAGTGATTTAGAATACTTTTTCATATGGCTAACGGTGGGTTGGATTTCTTCCTTTGAAAACTGCCTGTTCATATCCTTTGACTCTTAATCAATTGGGAAATGGCTCTTAGTCTTATAAATTTGAATCAGTTCTTTCTGTATCTTGAAAATGAAACCTTTATCAGATAAACCTGCTGCAAAGATTTTTTTCCAGTTAATTTTCCCCTTTCTAATCATAGCTGCATTCAACCTACACTTTTAAATGTTTTTTTTCAATTAATGAAAATCCACTTTTTCTCCCTCCAACACTTCTATCCCTCCATTGAAAAAGAAAAACAAAACCCTTGTAACCAGTATTCATAATAAAGTAAAATGAAGTCCAACATATCCAAAATGTTTTTGCCATGTCCAAACATTATATATATGTATATATACATTTACACATAACACATATATACACACATACATACGTATAAGCATATAGACACATACATCTCAGTCTGCACCCTGATTGCATCACCTTTGTGTCAGGGGGTGAGTAATGTGATTGATCATGGATCCTCTGGAATCGTGGTTGCTCCACTGCATTGATCAGTATTATTCACACCTCTTCTTTATGAAGAAAAGGGTGGTCAGAGATGAGTGTGCTCAGCACCATTGTTCTAGTTTTGATGCAGTTTGCTCCACCCCTTTCTCCTTCTCTAACCTAGAGTTTATTTTGGTTAAGACTAATACTTCTGTAATTTGTCTTTTCCTCTTACTTCCCCTTAGCCCCAATCTCCCCTTTCCCTTATGTTGTCTTATAGAATAAAATGTATCTTTCCACCCAACTGTGTGTATGTGGGGTGTATGTATGTGTACACTCCCCTCCTTTGACCAGTTCAGATGAAAGTGAGGTTCAAGTGTCAGCTCTTCCCCCTATCCCTTCTCCTTTGTATAGTCTTCTACTTGCATATTCAAATTATTTCATTCTACAAAGCTCTGGTTTTCAGCAGCAGTGCTTGGAAGTTCTCTTGTTCATTAATGGTCCATTTCCCAACCCTGTAGAATTATACTGTTTGCTGGGTAAATTCTTTTTGGTCATAAGCTTTTAGCTTTTGCTTTTTGAAATACCATTCCTAACTCTCTGCTCCTTTATGGTGGTGGCAACTAAATCTTCTGTGATCTTGACTGTGGCTCTTCAGTACTTTGGCTGCTTCCAGTATTTTTTTCTTTTGACCCAGAAGCTCTGGATTTTGGCTGGGAACTTGAGGTTTCTTTCAGGAGGTTAGCCAGTGTTTTCTTGGTGTTTTTACTTTGTCCTTTGGTTCTAAGAGATCTGGGAAGTTTTTTTTGATTTCATGCTTCCAGGAATTGTAGTTGAGTTTGTGCCCAAGCTATGCTTTCTTTGAGGCTTTGCTTATAGATGTTTTGGAGTTATTCTCTTCTGCCTTTGTGTCTTGAATTTCTATATCATTATAATAGCTCTTTATGGCAGGATTATTTTTTTGTTTGCTCATACTTCTAGCTAAAGAAAGACCTTCTGAATTGTCTAGTTCCATCATGTCAATGAACAAAAAATTTTCTCAGATCAGCCAAAAGCAGTCTGTCTTGCTCAGTGAAGAATCTGCATGACAGAAGATGTGAAACAGTGGGAGGTGAAGGAAGAAGTGTGGGTTCATGAAGATGTAGGGACCATGCTGTGTTTGTAGAGCAAGTCATTTCATTTCACTGACCTTTATCTTCTGTTTTGTGACATGATTGATCAAAGATCAGGTCTCTTTTTTTAGCTTGAAGATTCTATGACTTTGAGATGAAATAGGGGCTAATTGAGGAATCCGCTGTGGAAACTAAGACACATTAGGGTGGGGCAGAAAAACTAGAAACTAAAAAGAGAGGCTATTTGAGCTATAGATGACTATTCTACCATTTGATTTGTTTGCAATAAGATGTTTCCATTCAAGTGTGTAACTAGCTTTCCCTTATAGATTTATCAGGTTAACTGCTATAATTAGTGCAGCAAGCATTGTCTGCTAATTAGTAACTGCTGACTCGGTGAGCTGAGGTTCCCTAGAACCTGTTGTTTGAGGAGAAACAAACATGCACTTTTGTAAAGATGTTACCTGGGCTACACATGAAAATGTAGTGGTTCAAAGGAAATGTCCTAATCCAATCTAGATCCTTTTTCTTGTCTATCTTCAGTTGCTCTTCTGTACTGCTTTCTGATGGGGGCCAGAGATACATTTCTTTTTAAGAGATTATCAGAGTACTTAAAAACTCTTTTGACTCTTTTCCTCACTGTTGTGAAGGTTTTACACAAAAACCAACATTGTTTAGATGTTTGCATGACTCAGTTAAATTATTTCCACTTAATTTTTTTTTTTTGCTCTTTTAGATGAGGTGGCCTCATCTCCAGTTTCTTTACAGACATTGAAACCCCTCACCGATCGACCAAATCCTAAAATTGGCATAGGAGCCTTAGCATTTAGTCCAGACAACTGCTTCCTGGCAACGAGAAACGGTCAGTACCCTGTGAACCGTATTAGCTTTTGCCACATATGAACTTTGTCAGAACAAAACCAAGGACAGTGTTCTCTTCTGGGGTTTTTTACCCATCCATTACTCCTGCAGGGAAAGAACAGCCATTGCTGTCCGCCAAGGCAAAGGGTTAATTCTGTGACTCACCTGAGAATAGTGACTATCTTAAAAACAAATTCATATAGCAGGCTCTAACAAGACCTTAGGTGTTCACATCATTTTTAAACTACCCATTTGGGGGTAAAACATGATGGGGGAAAGGGAGGAATTGTTCCAGTAAACATGGTAACAGACATAGATCAATTTTAGTATTGCTTATTATCTTGAGGCAAAATATAGCCTTTGTGGCTGATTTTACAGCTAAGAAAAAATTATTTAGTGGCCACACAACAATTGACTCTTAAGCTTTCAGTTCTACAGGGACATTTAAAGAGTTGGACTAAGCAGAAATTATATTTAACTATGGAACAAACATGGTCTTATCATAAGGTGTACGTGTATGAAGTTTCCTCTTTCCACTAGATAACATTCCCAATGCCGTTTGGATCTGGGACATACAAAAGTTGAAATTATTTGTGGTGTTAGAACATCTGTCAGCTGTTCGTTCATTTCAATGGGATCCCCAGCAAGCCCGGCTAGCTGTGTGCACTGGGAGAAGCCAGGTGTACCTGTGGTCCCCAGCAGGCTGCGTGTCAGTGCAGGTACCAGCAGAAGGTGAGTGGGGATAAATTGTAAACAGTTCTTTTGTGTTGCAAACTGGTAATTCCTTCTGGTAACCAAGAGCTGGTATAAAGTTGACTTATTGCTGTGAATCTTTTGGAATATTTTTTTTACTTTCTCCAGGTGACTTTCAAATCCTTTCTCTGTGTTGGCACCAAAGTGGGGACTCCATGGCCCTCCTGAGCAAAGATCAGCTGTGTTTATGTTACTTGGAAAATGAAGGAGTTAAATAATTACAGCCAAAAATCTTAAGGATTTCCTCGATATCTAGTTTGAGTGAATAAATGCTGCTGTGTGAGAAATCCAATATACATTTGTTTTGTACTGAAAAAAATCACGACTGAGGGTTTGAGTGAATAAATGTTGCTGTGTCAGAAATCCAATACACGTTTGTTTTGACGAAGGTGGGAATCAAATCTTTGGGTGACTAAAGTAACACCCTGATTTTAAATATTTTTCTATGGTAAAGTATCTTTGTACATATGTCACATAGAAAAACTAAATTTTTTTTATTATAATAAAGACTCAAAAAGTTCACAAAGCAATGTGATGTACCTTTTTTTCCATTAAGATAGACTTAGGGCATATATTACATTGTTTCTGGGATACCACTATCAAGAAAACAAGCTGACAGTATTACACACTGGCTCCTAGAACCTCTTTCCCCTCGTCTTCTCTTTTTATAACCACTGACTATTCTCTTAGAGATGTCACTACTCTTTTGAGGTGCTGCCAATCTAAGCCTGTTTCAGAAAAGTCCAACAGAAAATATATCCTAGAATCAGCCCTTAGGCACCAGGGAAAGCCTGTCAACCAACATTTTATCTTGTTGAAGAAGTGAAGAAGTTACTGATTCATTGCTATAGGAGCTGTACCTAAAAAACCCTATTGCAAACTATTTGGTAACCTTGGTGTTATACCTCCAAAGGCCCGATGACTATATTCTAAAGTGCTGGCATCTTCCTTTACCAGAGCTGGTATGTTTTCCCTCTCTGCAAAGGAAAACATCAGGTGGTTAAAGGGTTGGGTTTAAGTACACAGACATTCTGTTAAATTATAACCCTTAAATTATTACTGGGCACTCATATATTTACCTTTTTTGGTCAAGTGGGGAATATGACTTTTTGTTTGTATCTATTTAAAGTACTTCAGTACTTTCCCAAAGTCAGAGAAGGTACAACATTGGTAAAGGTGGGTTCATCTTTACTACAAGATTAGAAACAGAAGCTAGAGACACAGGTGTTTTCTCAAACAGTCTTTCTATTTTGGACATGCATTGTATTGCATTCCAGACACACACATGCCAGTCATCTGACAAGCTAACAATTAAGTCTGAGGCTTAAAAACGAAGGGTTCGAACACACACACATACACACACCAACCAAGAAGCTGGTCAGACAGCATGGAAAGTTTATAAACAATTAGACTATATTTTGTGGCAGACAGGATCCTTATTCTTCTAAGAAGTCTAGCAACAATTCGATTTGTAAAAGGCTATCATCTTCAACTATATTATTCACACCAGGACATAAAAGCTTGGATAAAGTGAGTGCAATGTTCTGACCTACCTACACACGGATAACCATATTAGACATTAGTTGCTTAGTGCTAGTCTAACAGGAGGCCTTTAAAAAGTGCAGTACTCGAAGAGCAAAGCGAATCAATTCCCTTTTAAATACTCATATGGCAATAAAAAACTTAGCATATATGTTAATAAAATCATGTGCAAAGAATTATCAAGGTGACTGTCTAATAAAACCGGTTGTCTTAAAGTGATTTCCCCCCCATAAACCTCTTTGGGCCCGTATATGGTAGCATAAATATTAACACAATTTAGATTCATTCTAGAAAAAGTTTGACTTCAGACCAAAATTATATTTACAAAACAACTACTGTCATCCACAACAGTAGCTAACAAAGGCAAGACTCAGTCCAGCTAAGATAGACTGGTCTGTTGGCTACTTTTGCATTTGGCTTCTTAAAAGGAAAAAAAAAAAGAAGCTTTTTTTTCTTAAAAAAAAAAAAAAAAAAATTAAAATTGACACTAAGTGTAAACGTTTGTAGCTACAGGCACTAGACATCAGGTAGCTCTTCTTGTATATGATTAACGTTACATTACATTCTAAGTGAGGTCATTCTGATCTTTTTGTGATCATGCTAGAGTGGCTGCATTGGGAAATGTCAAAAGAAGCAAAATCCACACACTCAAGAAAAAGCACTAGAAGTAATTAGAAAATAAAATACCAGCTAATACAACTGACAACTGGATTCAATTTGCCCTTTGTGTATAGCTTGTATTGTTGCCGAGTATCTGATATCTGAAGTCTGTAATTCATTTTACTATTCATAACCTTAGAGGTAAGTAACTATTACATATCTTCTTAACTACAAGCACACCCTGGGTCCTCCATCTACCTTTCAGGTGATCTCCTTTAAAGTCACAACACCCAAAAGACAACTTCTATAGCACGTGGATTGTGAAACGTAGTTTAGAAGCCGATTTTGCCTCTTGACATAGAGTAGCCTAGCTTGGCCTCATTGTTGATAAAGGACATGAGCCCCACATAGGTCTCAATGAGAAGAGGACGCTCCAAGACCAGCACTCCACTGGCTCGACCTGGTAAAGGGAATTCCTTCTGGGCCTTCTTGACAGCTTGAATTAATAGAGCCTTGAAGCTTTCCAACTTTAAAGAAAAGAAGAAAGCAGGTTAGTGTCCAGGCAAAATCAAAGCAAACCCTACCTCCCAAGAGTTGGAAGGAAATAATTTGGAGATGAATCTGATGAGAGAAAGGCCTAATGGATGGATCCCAGTCAGTTCTGAGTCCTTCAAGAAGCATCCTTCCCCAAGCCCTTCCATCAGGGAGTGTGATCAACTGCAAATTCTAGTTATGCTCATGATCACCATGTCTTAACTTAAATTTAGCTGTGTAACTGCACGAGGATGGTTGGTGTTGCTGAGTGGTATGGGTTAATACTCACAGCACTTTCTAATATTAACCTAGAAGCAAATTATTTTCATTTCTAAAGGCCTCTTCCCATGAGGTTTGGCAAGAAGTGATGGTACACAGTAGGATTTTTTCTACCCTTACTTGGCAAAGAGATGCAATCTTCTCATCAGCATCTGCCATCGGATGCTCTATAAAAGTGGCATAAGGCAGATTTGTGGACCAGGGATTCCATCTGTTTATGAAGGAGGGGCGGCTTTGCTTATCCCACTGAATTCGAATCCCAAAACCTTCTCGCCTGAAATTGGAAGAGATCAGTCACACAGCAGGATTCAAAGCATCCTGGTTAATCACAAACATATGATAGAAAAAAAAGTCCCATATTTTAAGCGAATTCCCCCTCCCTCCTTGTTTTTTTATAATCTAGAATTCATTCTTGTTCCTAATAATAATAATAATGATTAGTGGCCTTTATCGACAGCTGCTTTAAACACTTTTAATTCTGCTCAATTTAATTAAAATGCCTTAGGTTAAGCTTAAATTCCTGACACTTCTTAGGCTCATTTACTTGAGTCAGTGCAGTACAGTATTGACAAGTTCTGATGGACATTTTCATAACTTCAACTTCCTTTTCTGGTTGTCCTATTGGTACTTAGTTACAAATATTTGCTGGTCTTAGCTTTTCAAGAGTTTTCTGGCCAAATCTTTACTTAACCCTATGAAACATATTAATATTTAAATAGCCACAACTTCCGTGTGTTTTATAATGTAAAAAATACCCCTAAGGCAATAGCATTAGACCAAGGAAGTTGAATGCCACTAAACATTTTATTACAAGAATCTATTCTTTGTAAAGGATATTAAAGCAAAAAGCATCTGTCTCTTTTTCAAACTTAACTGCCCCAAGAACTAGGATGATCAATGCTGCCCTTTTCTAAAGCCAGAGAAAAGATACATTGCAGGAGTTAAATATCGGAGTGGCTGACAACGTGCAACCTTTTAATACGTTCAAATCAATTTACCAGAGCCCTAAACTACAATTTATTTCATAGTCCTTTTTAATGTACTTGGTGGTCTAAAACTGACTTGTTTTTATTCCAAATAATCTTTCAAGTGACTATTGGTGAGGCAGACCCCTCTAAAGCCAAAAGTCCCTTTAATTTCAGGCCAACAGTTTCTTTTAACAGAGGAAGTTTCTCTAAAGCTACTGTGTCTCATCCTTACATGTAAATATTTATCTGGCTTACCATCTGAGGTCAGATTACCTAATTAGTTTTCTTCCCCAAACAATACCAAACGTTCTTAGGCAGTCAGAAAGCAAACAATAAGGAAGAACACCATTAAGAAAGAGCCATTTGCATTCTGGGTAATTAAATTTGCCTCTTTGAATAGGATTCAAAAATTCTAAGTACAAATGCTATGACATAAATTTAAATATCTGTAGTTATGAAAACCTTTCTTTAGAAAGATACGGATAAAAAATTCAAGCCACTTTTGACCAAGTGATAATTCTACTTCCTGAATTCCTTCTAAGTCCAACTCCTTTACTGCAGTTACATTGAGATACATCATCTGCTGGTGCTGTAAAACAGAGGTTGGGCTAATTTATCTCTAAGGCAGAGGCTCCAACTTCTTCGATCAAAAGCTAACCTCTTTTTGTGTCCTGGACCCCTCGGGCAGGGTGGTGAAGCCTATGGACTCCCTCCCAAAAATTACAGTCTTACATGCATAAAACAAAATACACAGGATTACAATTATACTGAAATATAGTTATCTAAATATTAAGGAAAACAAACAAAAAAACCCCCAAGTATGTAAAGCCTGGAATAAGAACCTCTGCTCTAAAGTGCCCTCCTGCTTTAAATTCTAATTCTGTGCTACTGAAGCCATGAATTGAACTTACTTGTTCAGTGACTTAGGAGGAAACTCAAACTCTCCATAAGAAATGGTATCAATTGCATTTAATGATATTTTAACCACCTGCTGGCACTGTAGATTAATGAAGTCATATTTACAGATCAGCAGGGATTGGTCTGTGATGAGAACCAGCCGCTCCTTTTCATTGTTCCAATGGTCAACCCTGGTAAGGCAGAGAAAATGAATCATCTTTTGTAACTCCTCCCCTCAATAAATGAAGAAATGGTGTTAGGTTAGCTGTTCAACAAGGCCGTAGAATCGCCTTCAGTGGGCAGTGGGGGTAGAAGGGTGTGTGGGTGGGTGGGTGTGTGTGTTAGTAAGAGCAAAGTAACAATGGTTCATCCCTCACAGGGACTACTGGGTAACAGCTCCAGGGGACATTCAGGATAGCGTCTTCAACACAAGCTGCTATCTTCTCTGAGGAAATGCTATGTACACCAGCCTCTCCATACCTTTACAGTTTCTAAGCTAGCAGAGACAGACACTCCTCATAACATGATAAAAAGTGGTGCTTTAGATGGGAAAGAACCCCAGAATCGTCCTCTGGTGTTGACCCGTTTTCACCACTGGCACCCGACACTTGTCTTCTGTGGAGATGGTTTCACCAGAAGCATTTGAAAGCACCAAGTTAGGAAGATTCGATCAATCACCTAACCCCAAGATGGCACACTTAC